GGGAGAGAGTAACACGGAGAGAGTAACATGGAGAGAGAGAGGGAGAGAGTAACATGGAAAGAGAGAGAGAGTAACATGTACAGAGAGAGAGAGGGAGAGAGTAACATGGAGAGAGAGAGGGAGAGAGTAACATGGAAATAGAGAGAGAGAGTAACATGTACAGAGAGAGAGAGGGAGAGAGTAACGGAGAGAGAGATCATTAATCAGTGAGCAGCAGGGAGGATACAGTATCAGTAATGTAATGCTGTCACTAGTCAGCTGATTAAACCAATAACCAAATCAATACATCATATATATAACATGGAGAGAGAGAGAGTAACATGGAGAGAGAGAGAGTGTAACATGGAGAGAGAGTAACATGGAGAGAGAGAGAGAGAGAGTGTAACATGGAGATAGAGAGAGAGAGAGTAACATGGAGAGAGAGTAACATGGAGAGAGAGAGATAATTAATCAGTGAGCAGCAGGGAGGATACAGTATCAGTAATGTAATGCTGTCACTAATCAGCTGATTAAACCAATAACCAAATCAATACATCATATATATAACATGGAGAGAGAGAGAGAGTAACATGGGGAGAGAGAGAGAGTTACCTTCCACAGTTGCTGGGTGAGCACAGCAGTAAATTGGGTTCCCTGGTCAGAGAGAATCTCTTTAGGGAACCCGACTCTGGTAAAAATCCTAACCAGAGCATCAGCAACTGTCTCTGCCTCTATATTAGACAGCGCTACTGCCTCTGGATAGCGAGTGGCATAGTCCACCACGGTGAGAATATATTTCTTACCGGATGGACTAGCCCTGGCCAGTGGACCCACAATGTCAACGGCTATACGGGCAAAGGGCTCCCCAATGATAGGCATAGACATAAGCCTAGCTCTTGGGTGGTCCCCCCGCTTTCCTACCCGTTGACATGTGTCACACGTACTACAATATATCCGCACAGCCTGATTAAAGTTTGGCCAAAAGAAGTTCCTATGATCCTATAGGCTGTGCGGCGAGAACCTAGATGTCCAGCTAGCTGAACATCATGCCCTATCCGCAGAATCTCCTGCCGGTATTTTGCGGGCACCACCAGCTGTCGATTCGGCGGAGGGGCAACACTTTTCGGGGAAAGCTTAGGGATTCTATACAACCTGTCCCCCACCCACTCATACCGTTCCCCATCTACTCCTTCCTCTCCAGTATCCGCCCTGTCCCTATACTTCTGGAGCGTCAAATCTGTCTGGGTTTCAATCCCAAACTCCTCTGGGGAATCCCAGCTAACAAAGGTCTGTTCTAGGGTACCAGTCGGGGAATCGGGTCTTACCTGGGTCTCAGCAGCAGGTGGGCTGGTTCCAGCAGCACGGGTCTGGACACGGGTAGTCACTGGGTTGATATCAGCAGGTCCCATTGGAGCATAAGCGGACACCAAAGGGGCCAAGTCATTCCCGAGCAAAACATCAGCAGGTAAGTCTTTCATGACCCCCACATTCACATGTCCAGAG